GTGTTTACATGTCACAAAACAATATGTGTACTAATTCTTTAATGAGAAACTAATCTGCTCTGCAAACCTTCATCTAAAGTACAATAAAAAAAAAAATCCTAAGTAAAATAAAATAAAATAAATGTTGGTGATTTGAACCCACCCAGTGGTGCCACTGAAGAAAAGCCTGGCACTCTGCTTCTGTAAAGATTACAGCCAACAAAATCCTATGGAGCAGTTCTGCTCTGTAACATATGGAGCCACCATGAGTCAGAATCAGCGGCAATAAGATTTTTTTGTTCTATGTGCTGGCCACTCTCCTGGACACTGGAGACAATCCAGTCAACATCCAAAGTTCCCCATCAGTGTAACCAGGGAGGTGACCAGGGAGGCAGCTTTGAGGGGCCTCCGGACAGAGGAGGCAGAACAGACCATTAAAGGCTCTAGAGGCCAGAGGGAAGCCACCAGTGTGGGTGCCCTGCACTGGTGATGGGACCTGGGACAATTCCTTCCCCCTCTCGGGGGGTCCTTTTCCTCTTCTCTAAAATGAGAGGATCAAACGAGATTGGGACTCCAGGGTTTTTGGATTTCACAGAACAATAAAAGACTAACAAAGTAATTGAGGGAACCATACAGGGTTACCAACTTTTTATTCCAATAAGAAGCCCTGGTGGTGCGATGGTTAAGTGCTCAGCTGCTAACTGAAAGGTCGGGTAGGCAGTTCGAACCCACAAGCAGCTCTATGGGAGAGAAGACCTGGCAATCTGTTCCCATAAAGATTACAGCTAGGAAACCCTACGGGGCAGTTCTACTCTATCCTATAGGGTCGCTATGAGTTGGAATCAACTCCAGGACACACAAAAACGACAAGGATTTTTAGAGAAAAAGCAAAAGCAGGCTAACAACCACCATCTACTATCACCATTAGTTCCTCAAAGAAAGGACGTTTTAACCCCAAAAGCAGAAGGGACGTAGTCCAGAATGAAGGGTCATCCTTTTAACTGATTTCACGTCGCTGGATAAAGACTCACGGTGCTGTCCATGTTGTTCCCGTCTTGCCCAGTCCAGGTGAACTGGTTGCCACATGGCATCACCTGTGGGCCAGGTGTTGGCTGAATGACAGGCAGCAGCTTTCCAATGCTAATGTCCCACGATTCTGTATGTGACCCACTGAAGCCATGACCCCAGAGCTCCATGTCCAGAGCAGCCCCCTGGTCAGAGAGACACAGTCAGGCAATTTCTAAAGCCTATTCCAAAAATAAATCTTTCTGGGCATCTCTCAGACCCTGCTGAAGGGGAAGGTCCCTGGGTAGCACAAGTAGTTTGCATTTGGCTACAAACCTAAAGGTTCAAAGTTCAAAACCACCCAGTGGTGCTGCAAAAGAAAGGCCTGGCAATCTGCTTCTGAAAGATCACAGTCAAGAGAACCCTATGGAGCAGTTCTCCTCTGTAACACGTGGGGTCACCATGGGTTGGAATTGACTTAACAGCAACCAGTTTGGTTAAAGGGGACACCCAGTCCATAGTGCTTCCAGGAGCCTCCCCTTTGTCTCCCACACACTTCCCTCCTCCCCTGCAGCTACTCCTGCTTTTCTCTTCCAAACTCCCTGAAAAAAAAAAATTCTTTCCCAACTCTAGTCTTCAAGCCTCTAGTCTAGAGGTCCCCTTATCACAGATAATTAGCAAGGAGCACTCAGAAGCACACGCCCCATCCCAAGCCCGTTGCCGTCGAGTCGATTCCAACTCATGGCAACCCCATGTGTTACAGAGTAGAACTGCTCCATAGAGTTTCCTCAGCTGTAATCTTTATGGAAGGAAATCGCTAGGGCTTTCTTCTTCAGAACTGCTGGGTGGGTTTGAACCACCAACCTTTAGGCTAGTAGCAGCCGATTGCAAATTGCTTGAGCCACTCAGGGACCTTGTGTGCTTCCCAGACCCTTCAAGTTGTTGGGGGGCTGTCAGCAGACCGTGCTTAGCTCTCATCCCCTTAGGGCTCCAGAGAGCTACCCATCCAAGGTCACATCTCTTCTTGGGGCAGCCTACATCCACTACAACGTGGAAGCATAAAGGCCTGGCCACTTCTGCCCAATACAGGACAACTCTGAAGGGCCATTCTAGATCCAGAGGGCCCGTGGGTTGTCCAAGGCTGCTGTCAGGCCTGCCTCGCAGCTCAGCTTCTTCCCCTGCCCACTCCTGTTCCTTCCCCTCCCTCCCACACATGCTGACCCTGAGGGCATCCCTTAATAAACATCCTGCACACTCAACTCTGAACCAGAGCCGGCTTCCCGGAGGTACCCAACCTGTGCCATCGACTCAGCCAATCACAGCCAGACCCACGTGGGCGGCCTTTCCTCCTCTGCCTCCTGCCTGGATGAGACTTCCCATACAGACAGCTAGACGGACAAACCCTCCAATCTTGAAATGTCAATAGGACCTAAAGGAACTTAGAATATTTTTTCTCTTTTAACAAAGACTGGCTTTCAAGGCCTTTGTCTAGCTATGGACTCAGAAGGTCAGCTCTGAGCAGCCAAGCTGATCAGTAACCCCTTTGTCCTGGATGCCTCCCCCTGCCTTCCATGAGGTTACAAGTCTCAGAGCACATAGTTGGAAAGCTGCAAGAATGCATGATATAAGGAGGGAATAAAAACTGAGACTTAATAGCTCCAAAATATAATCCGTCACATACACAACGGAGGTGGGGGGCAGGCGGGGGGGGGTGTGTGCTATTCTGGGCCTCCATGATCTGGGAACACACTCTCAGGGGTCCCAGCCCTACGCTGTGCTTACACCTTAGGCACCATGAACCCCAGCTGTCTGGGAGTAGGAGGCCAGGACAGCAAACTGTGAAGCTTGTCTTGTGCTGACATTCTTATTTCTACACATTTTACCCTCCAAGAGCCTGGCCAAGTGAGCATGAGACGGAGGCAAGACCCAAAGCTGAGTCAGTAGTGCTGATACACATGCTCAAGGAGATCAAAGGCAGAGGCCCTTCAGCAAGGAACAAATGTCCAAACAGAGGGTGATAGCCCCTCCAGAGAAAGAACAGGCCTCTCCTCCATGGCCCGGTCAGGACTAGAGCCACTTCTGTCTGGAGCGAGCTCTGGGCAGGCAGCAGTCAAGCGCAAACCAGCTGGGAGGAGCGGGGGTCCAGGAAGTGCCCCTTCCCCAAGAGCAGGGCTGGATTCCCGCTAGATCAAGCACACGCTTAGCACTGTAGCAGAAGCAGTAGATCAAATCTCAGCCTGGATGAATTTATCCAGGAGTTTATATTCAGAAAAAGCTAGACGGAAACTCTTTCCATTTCAGCATACGTTTGGGTTTCTTGATTTATGGTTTAGTGTTGCTTTTAGTTCGGATTCCATTGATGGCGTCATCTTTTCAGCCCTTGAGACCTTTAAAGGTCTTTCCCAGCTCAGCCAGGGAGGCAGGCGGTGGTCTGTGTGGGAAGTGACGTACCAGGAGGAGAAGCAGGGAAGACAGTGGTAAGGAGGTGCAGGGTGGGTGGACAGCCCACAAGAGACCCCACTGTTCCAGGCAGCTGGAAAGAGGTTCCTTCAGAGCCCAGGGGAGCTGGAGGCCACTGTGCCTGAGTCTAAGGGGGACCCTCCCTGCCCTTCTGAGCCTGCCCCACCTTCAGGGTCCACACAGCCACAGGTGTGCACAGGTAAAACATCATCATACCTTCACTCAATGCCCTAACACACACATGCACCACAGTCGATGACAAAGAGCAGATTCTTTTGGGCACACCCAGAGCAGCCCCTCAGGACTTAAAACTGTCCTTTCTGGGGCCCACAGAAGACGCAGCAAGCCCTGTGCTTGTCCTAAGACAGTGGATCTCATCAGCATCACCTGAGACTCATTTAGAGATGCTTCGGGTTCTGTCTTCCCCTCCTACAGAGCCCTGAGCTGTTTGGGGCTCTCTCCTGGGGCCACAAACTCCTGTAGAATTTTTTACTTGCTACCCCCTGTATGCACACGATCTCACTGAAAACTCACAAATATCCTGGAAGTTGTACATATTGTTTTCCCTACTTTTTTTCATACGGGCAAGCCAAAGCTCAGAAAGCTTAAGTGACTTGCCCAGAGTCACAGAGCCAGACTCACTTCTGGGTCTATGTGGCTCCTAAGTGTGTGCTTCTAATCACTCTCTAGATGGGGGGCCCTGTCCCAGGCTGGACCTAAACACCGCAGTGAGAACGGTGTCCTCCTTACCAGCCCAGCCCCCACCCCTGCCGCGCTCCATTTCCCCTGATCTCTCCCTGACGCAGCAGCCAGTCCTAAATCTTTCCTCAAGAGACAGGACAACATCCAGGCATCCAAGCAGGGGGTGGGACAAAGGCGGGAGCTACAGCCCCACCTCTCGAACAGGCAGTACCTCTGCCAAGGCCCTCGCCCGCCCTGCACGGCTTGGCAGGGCTGGCAGTTGGCAGTCGTGAGCACACCCCAGATCCTAACCCAGCCTGCACCCCAAGACCTGAACAGACAGCGGCCGGGTCCTGCTGGGCAGTGGGCCTGCTGATGTCAGAGACTCCTGCTGTGCGCTCAGCCAACCTAGAATGTTTCCTGAATGGCATTCGGAGGGTCCTGAGTTCCAGTCCTGGCTCGTCACCAATTTCCTGAATGACTTAGGCTGGCCAGTTCTCCTCTCGGAATCTCAGCGTTTGCATTTCTGCGGTGAAAGTTCGAACCAGTGATTTCTAAGGACGTCTCCTGCTCTGAAGCTGTGGATTCTAGATTTCTTTGTAGCATCTGAGGATTCTAGCTGGGACGTGGAAATCTGAAATGACACTGGCTCTGCGCTGGGCTTTCTGCTCAGCCTTATTTATCTTTAGCCCAGGTCATGCCGGGAGCCTTGGGAGTGTTCATCTGGCTCCCCTAACGTGGTCTTGCATCTACTCCTCTCTCCACCGTACCCGGGTACTCAAGGGGATTTCTCTTGCTTGGCAAATCCAGGCAGGGTACCAGGGCCCAGGCAGAGCCGCAGAGCCAGGCCCCTCCTCCGAGACCCAGAGGCAGCCATGGGGGTCTGTGCTGTCGAGATTGACACCAACATCTCATCTGGCCCTGAGATCAACACCACGGGCATCACAGCCTTTTCCATGCCTGGCTGGCAACTGGCACTGTGGGCCATAGCCTACCTGGCCCTGGTGCTGGTGGCCGTGACTGGCAATGCCACGGTCATCTGGATCATCCTGGCCCATCAGAGGATGCGCACTGTCACCAACTACTTCATCGTCAACCTGGCCCTGGCCGACCTCTGCATGGCCGCCTTCAACGCTGCCTTCAACTTTGTCTACGCCAGCCACAACATCTGGTACTTTGGGCGTGCCTTCTGCTACTTCCAGAACCTCTTCCCCATCACGGCCATGTTTGTCAGCATCTACTCTATGACCGCCATCGCCGCCGACAGGCAAGAGAGGGGCGGCGGGGGACCTAGGGGAGCCTTCTCACTTTGCTGGGGCTCAGAGTGGGGTGATGAGTTGCTGCGATTGTACAGCAAGTTAAGGGTAGAACTCAGGGCATTGCCTCCCAGACCTGGTTATGAACCAAAACTATGTATCTAGAAGACAGAGAACTGTGGAACTGAAGCATGTAGGGTTAAAGTCAGACCAAGGAAAACTTTGCACTAGATGGGTTGTTCAAGGCTGTGAGAGAAGGAACAGAGCAGTGTCTGGATAAATTCTAGAATGTTCTCTCGAGTTGGTCTTTGTTTTGGTGTCTTTATTTTACGATGAGGAAATTGTTTATATTATTTTCCTTTTCCAGATAGATTATACTAGGGGAAAATTGTAATATTGTATTCAGTTGACATATCATGTTGTTGTTGTAGAAAGGCTGTGACCTTTTGGAAGCAGATCGCCAGGCTTGTCTTCCGACGAGCCTCTGGCTGGGTTTGAACCACCACCCTTTCAGCTAGTAGTCAAGCTTTTAACTGTTTGTGCCACCCAGGGACTCCTGACATATCATACAAAGCACGAATCTACCCAGCATGTAGCTGGGCCTGATTGCTCCTTACAAGAGGACCGCCTATTGTCCTGTGCTGCTCTCAAGGGCTGCAGACTGTGAGCTCTGCTGAGGAAGAGTTAGCCGTGCAGCTATCTGTAGTCCTTTTAAGCTGGTTGCAGAGGGCTTAGCCCAGTGTGGATATGGAAGGGGAACTTTGAGTCCATAGCAGGGGTGAAGATGAGAGGGATATAATTTGGATAGTCCATGACACAGAGAGAGCACCAATCTAGTCCCACACTCTCACTCTTCAAAAGAGGAAACCACGGTCACACAGCACCTTACAGGCCCCACAGGGATAGAGGCAGGCTCGTGAGTCAGTGGGTAGCTGGTTTCCTTTGGGTGCTTTGACCTTGGGGAAGCAGGATCTACTTCAGAGTCCTTCCTTCCTCAGTCAGGGCTCTAGACTCATGAGGTCTCAGGCCCACCAGGCCCCAGGACACGCCTACAGTTGCTTTCTGGGTCCTAGGAACACAGGGAAGTCAAACCCACCTGGTAGCAGACAGCTGGAGCCAACCTGGGTTCAAAGCCAGCTCTGCTTCTTCCAAGCTGGCTTGTTTCACTTCTCTAAGCCTCCATTACCTGATGCGGAAAATGGAAATAACAACTCCCACCTGCGGTAACTTGGAAACAGGCCCTGCACCTTACCAGACACCAGGGCACCAAACGGCAGTTCAAATCCCACTCAGGTTCTCCCAGAGAGAGGCAGGAGCTAAGGAGACTGCTCCCGGCTGACTTCATGGAAATCGACCAAAACCAGTTGCCATTGGGTCGACTGCGACTCATGGCGCCCCCGTGTGTGTCAGAATAGAACTGTGCTCCACAGGGTCTTCAGTGGCTGAATTTTTGGAAGTAGATGGCCAGGCCTTTCTTCTAAGGTGCCTCTGGGTGGACTCGAACTTCCAACCTTTTGGTTAGCAGCTGAGGATGTCAATCATTTGCACCACCCAGGGGCTCTGACTTCACGGAGGAGGCGTCATTTCACCAGGACTTCAGTGACTCTAGAGAGGAAGGAGGAGTTCTAGGCTGAGCAGGGGAGGAAATGCCCTGTGAGGGGTGTGCAGGGCTGCCCCACAGCCACAGGGAGCCAGAGAAGGTGCTAGAAGCAGTGCCAGAGGAGGCCAAAATGTATGTTGTATGTTGGCCACGCGACAGAGGGTCTCGAATGTCACGTTTAAAGTTTTGGGCCAATACTTTAGCCACTAGCTATATGTGCCTCTTTAAACCTCAATTAATTAAATAAGATAAAAAGTTCAGTTCCTCAGTGGTACTAGCTCCATTTCAACGAGACAGTGCAGATACAGGGCATTTCCACCAGCAGACTGTCGGTTCTGCTATGGTTTCTGAACGAGAGAGGCACTGGCATAGGGCTGAGGGGCTCGGGCAGGGCAGAGCTTTAGGATAAAGTGGAATACTCAGTCCTGCCCCGAAATGGTTTCCAGTGTGGCCGCAGCCCTGGTTTGTGGCCACCTGAGGGCATGTCCATGCTCAGAGGGAGGTGGCATGGAGGAGGCCTGGTCAAGACTCTTGAGTGCTTGACTCAGTGTGTGGCCGTGGGAGACCCACAGCCCTGCTGGCTCTCTGCACGTTGGATGAGGGCTCCAGAATCTGCAGTCACTGGGCAGCAGTGCTGGGACTAGGACTGGAGGGTGTGGGCCTGGAGTGGGGGAGGGAGGCCGAAGGGTGAGCTGATGGAGGCACACCTACCACTCACTCCACGCTCTGCTCATAGGTACATCGCCATTGTCCACCCCTTCCAGCCACGGCTCTCAGCCCCTGGCACCAAAGCAGTTATTGCTGGCATCTGGCTGGTGGCTCTGGCCCTTGCCTTCCCCCAGTGCTTCTACTCCACCATCACCACGGAACAGGGGGCCACCAAGTGCATTGTGGCCTGGCCCGAAGACAGCAGGGGCATGAAGCACCTCCTGTAAGTCCTCCTGGGTGAGGGTGGTGGGCAATGATGTACGTGTGTGTGTGTACACCTGAGAAGGAACACGTGTGCTTGTGTGTACGGAGGTACATGCATTTCCAAGTGTGTAGTGAGTTGCACGTGTGTATATGATATTAAGTAGATACGTGCACATATGAAAAGCAACATTTACATAGCACTTACTACCTGTCCGGCCTGTTCTAAGCACTTTACATATAATAACCTATTTAATTCTCCAAACAATCAATGAAATATGTACTATTATTGCCACTCTCATTTTTTGTATGAGGAAACGGAGGCATCGAAGAACTAAGTGGCTTGCCCAAGACCACACAGCTGGTCAGTGGTAAAGCTGGCATTCAAATCCAGCCAGTCCTGCTCCAGAGCCCAATCTCCTAACTACTCTGCTACTTAAGTAAGCATATGTGCATCCTTAAATGAGTGATACGTATGTGTACACATGTGTCTGTTACGTGTATGACGTGCTACATTCACTTGTGTGTGTGTGTGTGTGTGTGTGTGTGTGTGTGGATGTGTATATGTAAGCAGATATGTAAGAGGGTGCTGTGTATGCTCAGGCCACAGAGGGCCAGCGTATTGAAGCAGAAAGGGCAGGTAGATGGAACCTGGGATGTTTTCTATAGGGTTCCTGGTGCCTTTTTCATGTTGAGGTGGGCAGCGTGGGTGGGTGACAGGGTGGGAGTGTGTAAAAGAACTCAGGCATGGTCCAGCCACCGTGTGACCCTGGGTAAGTCCTTTCCCCATTCCGGGCCTCAGTTTCCCCAGTTCTCCAAGTGTGGTTTTGTGATCCCCCAGCATTGTGCCATTGGTTAACAGAGGAGAAAGAATTGGTTAGGCCATGGGTTTTGGAGTGAGCCAGCAGGGTCAGAGTCTTGCTCTGTTCCCTCCTGGTTGCAGGACTTTTTGTAGTCATTGAACCTCTCTGAGCCTTTGGCTCCTTCTGGGCGGGGGTAGGGGGCAATGATGTGTGTGTGTAATGAGGAGTAGTAATAGTACTTTGTGAGTCTAAATGAGAATGTGCATGCAAAGCCTTTGACACAGTACCTGGCACAGAACTGGTGCCCAGTATGTGATAGCTTAAATAGAAGTAAAGAGAAAACTAATCTGGAGAGGGTAGATTTGGTCCAACAAAGTCCCAGCTACCCTAAGCATAAAGATGTGGAATGCTCTGAGCTGAGGGCTACCAGGGAACCATGGCAGCACAGCCCCTACGCCCACCTTCTTTAACACCCCTCCCCCAATCCTCACCCCTACCTGGTCTCCATCTGTTCCCAACACCTGCCACAAGAAGACTGCTCCGTGGCCTTCATTGCTGGGGAAGGCATTAAGCCTGTGCATGGGGGATGAGAGGCTCGAGGGCAGACCCTTCCTGGGGTCTCTGTCCCCATCATGCACCCCACCCTCTCAGAAGGACCCACCCCCAGGCAGGCAGTGTGCATGCAGGGGAAGCACCCTACTCTCTGACTCAAGGTAGGGAGTAAGAGGAACATTTTGGGTCTGGTCATTGCGGGGGTGGTGTTCCTACACCTAAATACAGGCCTTTCTTCCTGAGAGGGGAAACCAGTAATAGTAGGGCTTCAAACTGGTTCATTCCAGTTAGACCCCCCTGCTGATAATTTGCTTTTTCACCCCAAGATATACTAAATCAGAATCCACATTTTAACAAGATCCTCAGGTATTCTTATGTACACATAAGAATTGCCTAGGGTACATAAGAATCACCTGAGGATCTTGTTAAAATGTAGATTCTGATTCAGTATATCTGGGGTGGAAATGCAAATTCTCAGCAGGGTGGTCGAACTGGAATGAACCGGTTCACTGCCCTGAATTTAGGGTACCAAGTACCAGCTCTCTGGGAGTTGTGAATTCCAACCCTCATTCAGGCAACAGGGAGAAACAGGAGGGCACAGGTGGGCTAAGAAAGCCATGCTTTATTGTTACTGAGAATTCTGAGAGACGGTTTTGGGGAAGCCTGGCTTTATGTATGAGAATGTGTTGTTTTTCTTGGGTGGGGGAGCATCTAATGAGAGTTCACTTGGGACTCCATCCTCACAGACCCATGTCCTGCGTGTGTGTGTGTGTGTGTGTGTGTGTGTGTGTGTGTGTGTGTACGTGTGTAGAATCTGATGAAATTACAGATGGTCTCTCTAGGAAAATGTAAGTATACCCTCAAAATCAAAATGCAAAAAGAACAGTCCAGGCTGAGAGGAGAAGCATCCCTAATTTTGGCAGGTCTTAGAACATGGTCCCCAAGGCTCCTCAGAGGTCCCTTCTGCATAGGAGCCTAGCCCAGACTGGATTCCTGTCCTGTACCGTGAACCTAGGATGGGAGGAGGCAACAGAGAAGTGTCGATCACACTTGGGAAGGACCTTAAAGATTCCCTCCTGGTTTTATGGATGGGGAAACTGAGGCTAAGGAGAAACCCAACTGGTCCAACGTCACACTTTCAATTAGAGGCTGCACAAGAGCCCCGTTTTTCTGACCCCCATAAAATGGTAGTGGTAGTGTCAGAACCTGTCTAACTTCAAGGGCATTATTAAGAACAAGGATCAGCCCAAGGCTGATTCCTATGAGAATCCAGGTCAGACACACCTCTACTCTCCAAACTTTTTACCAATTCTGACACCAGCCATCCCTTCCACGGTACTCTCTACTTCTTTTCTGGGTTCGACAATCTATTGCAATGGACACACAGAACTCACAGACCATGCTTAAGGTTAAGGGGTTTATTAAGAAAGTAACATGGTACAACTTGGGATCAGGATCAACAGGCTACAACTCAGCATCAAGATCAGGAAGCATGCAGGCAAGGTCTGGAAAGCTTTCCTGAAGTGGAGAGCACATCCCTCCCTTCTTCAGTGCAGAACAGCTCTCTCAGCTTCTCTCAGCCATGCAAGCAAGCAGGCCCTTCTCTCTGCCATGCAGGCCTTCTCTCGGCCTCCTGAGGACACGCCTCCTCTCATCCCCCTCAGGACAGGCCTCCTTTTGGCCATACAGGTCCCCTTCAGCTATGCCCCCTTCAGCCGTGTAGTCCTCTCTGCCTTCCTCCTCCCTCTGCACTGCTAACTGCCCCAGCTCACAGCCAGTGTAGCAGTTTGTTCAGCTCTCCTAGCTGCATTCCCAGCAGTAGGTTTCTCCTGTCACCACCGACTCTGCCACAGGGCCCCTTCCAGGCCCTACCACTGTCTTCAGTGTTACAGCCCTTGACCTGTATTACGGCTCCCTTAGGAGTTTCCTTGCTTCTTCTCTCTCTGCTTCTTCTCTCTTCTTGCCTTTCTTGCCTTTACTCCTTTCTGCTTCTTTTGTCCTTCTGTCAATGTCTGTGGGGTTGGCTGCATACATAAGAAAACTCCTGGTCAATTTCAAGGCATGGCCCTCCCATCAGGGCCACAAAAGGACCAATCCCCTCTCAGCAGGCCACAGACACTTCATTTGCATAGTAGGCTATAGTCACTTCGTTTGTATAAGTATTTGGCCAGTCCCTGCAAGGTGCATAAAATAGACCAATCACAGGGCAGGCTGCGGCCCAGGGCCAAACCACAAGTTGTTTACAGATTATACAGGAAATGTCAATCAACCTGGACAAAAGTAACAAACCCTCTGTGGTAGAAAACTAGGGCAAAGGTAACTCCTGAGGGCATAGAAGAAAAATCTCTCAAGCTGTATTTCCAAAGAACCAAGGCAAAAGGCCAAATAAAGGAACTCATTTCACCACACCACCACAGGATTGACCCTCAATGAAAGGAAAATTGTTTGGGTTTGATTAAGTTTGTAGAGCTGCTGTTCCATGTGGAACAGACTTACTGCGCCTCTCTGGGCCTCTGTTTCCCCATGAGGCAAGTGGCCCTGTTGACCCTCAAGGTCTTTCTAGCTCAGACATTCTGTGATCTCATGATGAAGGTAAGGTGCAGGGGCCTGGCATTCATTGCCCCTCCTCCCCTCTTATCTGCCCCAAGAGCAGGGCTCTCAGCTCAGATCTAGAATGAGGATCAGGAGGTCCAAGGGGCCCCAACCGTTTTGTAATTGGCACCCGTGACAAAAGAGCAAGCAAGCAGAATTCTAAACACGAGGCTTTAGGGGAAAGATTTGTTGGAGCCACCTGCCCCTCACCCTCAGGGTGGCAGCACCTCTTAAAAGGGGCCCAGCGAGGCTGGAGGTTGGCACATGGAGGCGCTTGGGAACACCTCAGCCTCCTACTGAGAAAGAAAAAAGTCACATACAGGGCCAGGGTCTCAGGCCTACTCATAGGGTGCGCCAAGGGCTCCCACCACAGACCTGCCTGGGAGTCAGTCCTCAGCCCGCGCCTTGTTGGAAGGAGACTGCAGCATCATGCAGGGGTGGGACGCGTCTCCTTTACACTCTTTCCAAAAGGAAATAAAACAGCCTCAGCACAGTCTGAGGTCCTCCTGGGGCTGGGTAATGACCCATGTGACAGCACTCTGGGCTGCTTGATCAAAGGCCGTGTGAAAGAGCATTTGCTGACATGAACGACGTTTCCAGCCTAATGCTGATGGGCAGGAAGCAGATGATAGACTAGTGTATACAATGTGGTGCTTTTTCACTGCCCCATGCCTTGATAGGGATGCCAACAAATCTATCTAGACAGATAAATATAGATATGTTGTTGTTAGGTGCTGTTGAGTTGTTTTCGACTCATAGTGACCCCAGTGTGACAGAGTAGAACTGCCCCATAGGGTTTTCTTGGCTGTAATCTTTACAGAAGCAGATTACCAAGTCTTTCTCCCACAGAGTCACTGGGCAAGTTCAAACTGCCAACCTTTCAGTTAGCAACCAAGTGCTTAACCGTTTGTCCCATCAGGGCTCCTTAGACATAGATATAGATTATATATATTATTTGTCTGCATCCAAACCAAAAAACCAAACCTATTGCTGTCGAGTCAATTGTGACTCCTAGCGACCCTAGAGGACAGAGTAGAACTGCCCCATAGGGTTTCCAAGGCTGTAATCTTTATGGAAGCAGACTGCCACATCTTTCTCCCACGGAACACTGGTGGGTTTGAACCACTGACCTTCCGGTTAGCAGCTGAGTGCTTAACCACTGTGCCACCAGGGATCCTTTCTATCTATATGCATATATATATATATGATAGATTTTATATTATATAGATATACAAAATAGATAATATATAATAAGTAATTTTATCTATTATCTAGCTAATATATATGTATGTATACATCTATATATACACACATGCATATACATACATACATGCATACATACATATGATTCTGGAGGAAAATATGCTACACTTAATAGTGGTGGGGGTGGGATAAGGAATTTTACTTTCTCCTTGTGTCTAATGGTTTTTGTTTTATTTTTTTTCCCCATTTTCATTAATATTTATTTCCTTTTTTGGTACTTGTCTATAACAAGTAAGGATGCAGGGTTAATACACTTGTCCTTTCTACGGAACAGGAAGACCTCTTTTTGGAATACAGCTTGGCCAATGTTGCCTTTTTTTTTAACCAAACCAAGGCCTTATGCGGCGGCCCGGGATGGGGCCTCAGAGCCCAACCCAGGAAGCCCGGACCCTGGTTCAAGGAGGCCGGCGGGGTCTCAGGGACAGTGCCGAAGGGTGTGGGAGTTGCCCCGCGGACTGCCCCGTGCCCAGGCCCTGGCTCTCCTTCTAGGTACCACCTCACAGTGATTGCCCTCATCTACTTCCTGCCCCTGGTGGTGATGTTCCTCGCTTACAGCATCATCGGCCTCACGCTGTGGAGGCGCGCGGTCCCCGGGCATCAGGAGCAGGACGCCAACCTGCGCCACCTGCAGTCCAGGAAGGTGAGCCCTGGGGGCGGGCCTGGGCGGAGGTGGGCTGGGGTTGGGGCGGGGCCGCGCTGGGGGCGGGGCCGGGGCGGAGCTGGGCCGACTGCAGGCATGCTGTTACCCGGCCTCAGCGGCAGAGAGCATCCACCGGTAACTTGCCCTTGTCCCAACCCTGAGGCGGATTTGCCTTTGGTCTTTGGCCAAATACAAAATTATAGGAACTTCCCGGAATCTTAGGAGAATCGAGGAATCCTAAAGCCTCAGAGAACGTCAGAGACTTCCAAGAGTCTTAGAATGACAGAATCTTTAAAATCTTAGAAGTTCTGCATACCCAGGATGTTGAATTTAAGAAGCGCTCAGAACTACAGGAGCCTACTAGCTAGAAGCACAGGCGAATCCTCAGATGCCAGAAGTGCAGACCTCCAAGATCATAGAGCCCGTCCTGTGGTCCACCTTCCCCAAGTCTGTCTTCCATGCCTACTCGGAGTGCCCCTGTCCTCTCCTTCCAGCTATCCAGGGCCTCCAAAGGTCCTGATGTAGCTAGCATTCTATGTCCAGACCTCCTCCACCCTCTCCCATTCAAAGCTTATCTTTTCTGTGCCCCCTTCCTGCTAGGCGACCAGAGGAGGTAATGCGTTAATCACATCATGTATCCAGGTAAAGCCAGGACTTCCCACCTGGAATTAGGTATTTTTAAGAGGGTGGCTCAGGGAAGTAGTTGGGCAGGGACACCACTTGGGTGTCCCTCCTCACGGCGAGGTGGGCCCTGTTTTCCCTCTCTGGTTCACCCTCCATCCCTCAGAGGGGTGCAGGGCCATGAAGGAGGGCACCTGCAAAGGCAAGCCTGTGAGAAGGGGAAGTTCAGGGGCTGGCTTCTGGGCAGAGGCAGGGTCCCTGGTTGCAGCCTCGTTGCCTGTGGATAGAAGGGCTGTGGCAGACACATCCCAGGGAGAAGGCCTCCTGGGAACCCACACCTGACACACAGGGTCTCCCCTAAGGATAGGGTTAGGAAGGAAAGCTCAGCCACTCTCCAGGGAGAGAGAACTGCTTTATGAGTGATGGGATGCAGGAAGCCTTCTGGAGGAGGTGGCAGTTGAGTTGGGCTTTAAGGAATAAGGACTTCAAAGGAAAGATAGCAGTGTGGGTCAAGGGACTAACGTGTGCAAAGGACCTGAGGTTGAGGCTCAGGAGTGTCTGGGCAGCAGATGCTCCAGGGAACTGAGGCAGTAGAAGTAGATGAGGCCTGATTGTGGAGGGCTCCCCAGGCTGGCCTGACGGGCGCCCCCTGCCCTGCCCTCAGAAGGGTTGGGGGTTTGGGACTCACAGGTTGAAGAGTAACCTGAGCCTCTTCTGGGCTAGATTGTGAAGACCATGGTGCTGGTGGTGGTGACGTTTGCCATCTGCTGGCTGCCCTACCACCTCTACTTCATCCTGGGCAGCTTTCAGGAGGACATCTACTGCCATAAGTTCATCCAGCAGGTCTACCTGGCACTCTTCTGGTTGGCTATGAGCTCCACTATGTACAATCCCATCATCTATTGCTGCCTCAACCACAGGTGAGCCGTATCCCCACCGGACCCTCCCCTCAGCCCTCAGGACTCACAGTCTGGCCCCACCCGGGTCACCTGCCCAGTTCAAACCACCACCCATGTTCCTGCCTGAGCCTTTGCTCGTCTGCCCCTCACGCCACCCTCACATGGGAATGCTGTCCTCACAGCCCAGCCCGCAGCACAATCCTCCCTTTTGTGGGGGCCTAACTTGAGACTCACCTCCTCCCTGAAGCCTTATCCAACTGCCCAGGCCATAGGTGTTACTGTCTGTCTGCTCTCTGTCCAGCGGTCTGTCTGAAAGAAGGAGAGGAGAGGAGGGACAGAGAGCTGGAGGGAGGGGGAGAGGCAGAGAGAGGCAGAAAGACAGACAGAGGGAAAAGCGAAGTGAAGAAGGGAAGGACTTGCTTCTGTCCTGACATTTATTTTACTTTATTTATTTTTAAAATAGATTTTATTATTGTTTAGAGCATTTTTAGGGTTACAGAAAAATTGTGCAGAAGGTACAGAGAGTTCCCATATGCCTCCTCCTCTCCCCCCACCCACCGTTTCTCCTATTATTAATATCCTGCATTCGAGTGGTACATTTGTTACAATACAGTACAACGATCCAAAGAAATGAGGCATCAAGCCACAGAAAGGCATGGAGGAACCTGAAATGCACATTGCTAAGTGAAAGAAGCCAGTCTATAAAGGCTGTATACTATATGCTTCCAGCTATATGACATTCTGGAAAAGGCAAAACTATAGAGACAGTAAAAAGATCAGTGGTTGCCAGGTAAATGAATAATTTCTTTGATAAGGATCAGCACAAAGCTGGTTCCTATTAGGCAGAGGTTAAAGATATCCCAAATGTCCAACTTTTCCAAACTGCTGTACCACTCCATCATTTCTAACATCAGCTGCTCCCCCTCCCCTCGGTACTTTCCCTCCTGGCATTGGCTTCCCTAATTCACTGTTATGTCTCACAGAACTCACAAACTGTACTTACAGTTAAGTGGTTTATTAGGGAAGTAACAGGGTACAACTCTGGGATTGGGATCAAACTTGGGAGTAACAGGAACAACAACTCAGGACGTAGTTCCTCCATCCGGACAGCTTCTTCTTGCCCTCTGCTGCTGGGCTCTGCTAGGGGCCTTCGTGGGCAAGGACTACACCTCTTAGCTCCATGGGTTAGCAAGCCCCACTGCAGTCATCTTGTGCCAGTCTTGGTTCCTGCCATCTCGCACCGCCATCTCTTGCTGTCTTCCGTGTTACAGCTCCCTCTCTCTGTCTCCTGGGTCTAGGAGGGCCTCAATGCTCGGATCCTGGGTCCAAATGATACACTCTGCTCCCGTCTCTACTTGGTGGTAGTCAGGCCTCCCCCCTTTCTGCCTCTGGGTTGGCTCGTTTTAAGCCTAGCAGGATGGCAAAACTGACTGACCAATCCCTTAGGGCTTCATACACATTATTTGCATGGTTCCACCTCCACAAGGGTGCCATGCACCTTATTTGCATTATTAGCAAGCTGTCCAATCCCCTTGGTGGGTCACAATAACCTTAAGTTACAGGGCCATGGAGATAAAGGCCATATAAAAGTGATCCATCACACACACCAGAGGGAGGGGAGAGGGATGAATAGGTGAAGCACAGGGCATTTTTAAGGCAGTGAAACTATTCTGTATGGCACTGTAATGATGGATACATGACATTATGCATTTGTCCAAACCATGGTGGTGTTGTTAGGTACCGTCAAGTCGATTTTCGCCTGGTAGAGACCCCATGTGACAGACTAGAACTGCCCCATAGGGTTTTCTAGGCTCCTCACAACCGGACCAGTAAGCAACATCATGATAAACGGAGAAAAGATTGAAGTTGTCAGGGATTTCATTTTACTTGGATCCACAATCAACACTCATGGAAGCAACAGTCAAAAGACGCATTGCATTGGGCAAATCTGCTGCAAAAGACCTCTTTAAAGTGTTGAAAAGCAAAGATGTCACCTTGAAGACTAAGGTGCGCCTGACCCAAGCCATGGTGTTTTCAATCGCCTCATAAGCATGTGAAAGCTGGATGATTAATAAGGAAGACACAAGAAGAATTGATGCCTTTGAATTATGGTGTTGGCAAAGAATATTGAACATACCATGGACTGCCAAAAGAATGAACAGGTGTGTCTTGGAAGAAGTACAACCAGAATGCTCCTGTTTCACATACTTTGGACAGGCTGTCAGGCGAGATCAGTCCCTGGAGAAGGATATCATGCTTGGTAAAGTACTGGGTCAATGAAAAAGAGGAAGACCTTCAAGGAGATGGATTGACACAGTGGCTGGAACAATGGGCTCAAGCATAACAATGATTGTGAGTGTGGTGCAGGACCGGGCAGGGTTTCATTCTGTTGTTCATAGGGTCGCTATGAGTCGGAACAACTTGATGGCACCTAACAATAACAGCAATCTTTATGGGAGCAGATTGCCAGGTCTTTCTCCTGAGGAGCCGCTGGGTGGGTTTGAACTGCCAGCCTTTCGATTAGCAACCAAGCACTTAACCATTGCACCACCAGGGTTCCTTAAGGAAACCCATGGGGCTGTACAACACAAAACCTAATGTAAACTATGGACTTTAGTTAACAATGTATCAAAATCGGTTCATCAATTATAACAAATGGACTACCCAAACATAATACATCCTGACGTTTTTAAGAGCTTACTGGAGGAAGGAAAAACTCAGAGGCCTTTCCAGGAGCAAAGTGAGAAGCACCAACCTCATAGAACCCAGCCCTCAACAGGAAGCTGGGGCCAGGGCCAATGGGGCCGGCTACTCCCTGGGAAGAGCACAGTTATTTCCTGTCCTCCAGGGGCCTTCAGGACAGCTGGACGTGACCGTGGCAGAGACAGTAGGGAGGAGGGGCTGGGACCTCACTCCTTCTGAAGACTCTTCTGGTTCTCCTGGCCCAGAGAGGGGCCGACGCTTCTCTGGGGCACTTGCCAGGTAGGGGATGAGCCAGAGAGGGGGCCCAGCACCCAGAGGTCCCGCTTGCAGAGCAGGCCTTTTCAGCCTTGGAAAACTCTGAAGGCGGGGCCAAGCAATAGGAGGTGAGATGTGGACACTGACTCTTGGCCCCAGTAAGACAGTGATGCAGGTGAGGCTGGTCCTGGGCCTCTTTGCTCGTGCCTTTTATCACCTCCCCACCCAGGTGTCCAGGCCACTCAAAATGCCGTTAGGATCTTTGTTGCTCAAACATCCCACCCACCTGGGGCAGGCCAGAAGGAAGTGACAGCTAAGATTTTTTTGAGAGCTTACTAGGTATGGGGAAGTGGGGCGAGCTGGTTCAGGGTGAGAGAATGATCAGGAGGTTGGTACGGGACATTGTGTGTGTGGATGTAAGCTACAGAGACCATCAAGCGCCACACTGTGGTAACTTGTGGAACTACAATGCAAGGAACCAAATAAGTCTAGGTTTTCTGCAGCATGGAACCCTGCATCCCCAGGAACAGACAATATAGTGTTCTCTCTCCGTCTCTGTCTCTCGCTCGCTCTCGGCTCTTCTACAGGGTCTCATTTCTGCTTCTCTGAGCAGCCAATGAAATGTTCTCTTCCTGCCAAACCACGTCTTCCACTCACTTTACACGTGAACCTTCATTGCTGCCACTGCAGGAAAGTTATTTTTTAAGCAAATATACCAAAACTTAGTCATTCCACGTGTGTATTTTCTTTCAAAGCGGTCCTCTTGGGAGAGTGTCCTTTTTCCACCAATGCTGCCAAAGCCCAAACTTTCAACAGATGGCTCTGAATACTCCCTTAGAAGCCCGTTAACAAGTTAGCAAGAAAATCAGCTGTTCCTTTATAATTATACTTGGCTCCTTTTTGTTTGTAATAACAAATGATCTAATTCAGCGTAATCACCCACTCCAGTCACTAGACTTGGCTCCAGTTTACCTGTTTCCAACAATCAAACCCACTAAAGAATATGTCTCTCAAGGGACACTGGACAAAGGTAGGCTCCATGGCATGAGGCAGCAGGATGCTTTGGAGGGAGATGAGCTTCCAGGGGTGAGGGCAGCCACACAACAGCCCCTGTAACTGCACCCCTTCCCCCTTGCTGATGGTGACCCTCCACCCCCAGGTTTCGCTCTGGATTCCGGCTTGCTTTCCGCTGCTGCCCATGGGTCACGCCGACTGAGGAAGATAAGCTTGAGCTGAATCACACTCCATCCTTCTCCGTGAGGGTCAACAGGTGTCATACTAAAGAGACTTTGTTCATGGTCCCTTCCGAGGCTACCAATGGGTAGGCTGGGGTGCCCAAGATGAGGTGCCCACTGAGCCCTGAAGCCCTGTGTCTGGCTGCAGGGTGAGGCTTAGCACCCATTGAGAAGTAGCCAACTGAGATCTGAAAGTTGGCCCATTGCCCACCCTTTAATACACCAGTGGAAAAACAAGATGGGGCCATAAACTGTGCAGTGAATGCTGACTCTGAACGGGCTCAGAGAGTGCTTCATGGGATCTAGGTCAGAGAAAACCATGTGAGTTAACATTTATCTCATCCAGAAGCTGCAAGCTCAAATGCCTTCCTGGGGCCAGGCATACAACATAAACGAGTGAATTGGATCAAGTATTTAAAAAAAAAAAAAAAACTGCAAGCGTGATGACAGAAGGCAACTAACTCCTTGCCTCAGTGTTGGGGTAATAGGGAATGGTGAGGACTGTGGCAAACTGGAAGGAATAGGCTCAGCTCTGGACAATTGGTACCTCATGGGGATAGGAGTCCATTGTTGCCAGATCTTCTAATTTTTCAAGAGAAGTCAGAAATCCAAACCTTTAGACTTACCTAGACCATGTGGCTTACATTTTCATAAGCTTTGGGTAAGCCAAACAAAACACATCTGTGAGCAGCACGCAACCGACACTGGTTAATGATCAAGCTAAAGTAAAGACACAAAGGAGGAACCTTTGTTTTGAAAAAGTCCGTTGGCTATGGCTTGCCCAGGGTTTCTCTGCCTCTGCATCTGAGAACCCAAAAACAGTCCAGTGTAGATGATGGTTAGGAGTCAAAAGGAACTAGTCTTGAATCCCAGCTGTGTTGCTGCAGTCGTCACCCTGAACCTCAGCCTCTTCCTCTGCCCAAAGACAAAACTACCTCACAGGAATGCTGTGGGGGTCCACAGAAAGATGTCTATAACCTAGCAGACCAAACAAGGATTAAGTGCTCAATAAACAGCAGCTATAATTTTTATCACTATGATGCCAGCCATCTCACACAAAAGCCGCCTGTAAGTCTGCAATACAGCTCCCACCCTCACTTCTGCAGCAAGAAGGTGGCAGGCAGAGGACACCAACTGTCCTGACTCCTAGAAAGCTCCAAGCCTGGCCCAGCCCACCCCACGGGTGCCCTCTCCCTGCCTGCCCGCTCATCCTCCCCTCCCCAGTGCCCTTGTAGAAGAACCACGTGACACTGTAAATGCACACCGGACACATTCGATGTTATCTGTGTTCTCCGTAAAGGTCACTGTGCCAGAGACAAGTGTCCCAAATAAAGAGACTCTGTTGTCACCAAACTGAGTGGGCCTGCTGTCAGTCCTGGAGGAGGCCACCGAAAGCTGTAGTCATAGCTTGGGAGACTCACGTGGTACCAGAATGCGGACTGATGTGGGATCCACCAAAGGGCTGGAGGAGAACCCAAAATGGCGGCCGTGGGGTGGAACAGCCATTGACTGAGGGTGTTTGAGGTGGGGACAGGGGCAGAAGGGTCAGGTAAGGATGAATTTCCTGTGGAAGGGGTTAATTAAGATCAACGAGGGGGTGATACAGCAAATGCTGGTACCCTGGGCTTCTTTGAAACTTCATCTGTGTTAAGGCAGGGGGTACTATTTAACCTGTTGTCTTAGAGTTGGCAGAGAGGGTGACGAAAGGGCAGCATCTGCTTGGGAATGGCAGTGGGAGGTCCAGCATTGCATTGTCCTCTCGCTAAACCCAAACTGCCCTGGAAGCCAAGCTTTTTCTTTGTTCTGGCTGCAAGTAAGGACAGGTCAAGAAAAGACACAATGAGTCTGTCTGAGGACGGAGGCCTTACAGTCCTTTACCCTCTTAAAGATGCTGGGGTGGGGCTGAGGAGCCCCTCCATGGGAGAGGACCCAGGGGCTAGGGTAGGGAACCGACAGGGCAGGTGCTGGAAGATGAGGGGAGAGGTTACTTCTGTGGAGTGTTACAGGGAGGTCCTTGTGCCACACTAAGGCAAGGGGGTCTGAAGGACACAGTCTTCATTTGAAACTCTCTCCCACACCCAAAAGACCACCAATATTCCCAGTGTTAGGCTCCACTTCACTCTAAGACTTCCTTCCCCCTCCCCAGCCATTAAACATGACTCGAGTCTTTGAGTTGGTACAAAGTTTACTAGGTCATACAACATGGCTCACAAAAGCAATGGGAGATTCCAGTGACGGCATTGTTGGTCGGTCGGTTCCTTTTACCCAAATGGAGACAAGACACTTTCCCACAGGATTGCCACCTCCCCCCACAAGACACACAGAATGCAAGACGCTCACAATGTTGCTATGACTGGTTCCACAGACACACAATTTGGTAGCACTGGTATGTCCTGACAGGGACTCGCGATGCCACACAGCAGCGGGCACTGGGATGGGAGGAATCAGCTAACGCTACGTCCACACACACCCTTCAGGTGGTGCCCTGGGAGGCGGAGTCCCGGCAGTGTCTGCTGGTGATAATACATTTCACACGGGGGATGCATCCCCAAGGACGGGCGTCGGCGGCCTCTAGGGCCTGTCCGAGGACGTGACTTTTCATCTGGAGCCAATAAATAACTTCAGTGGATGAATGCATAAATTAGAAGTGGATGTCACTAGGCTTCACACGTGGTGGACAAATCATGCAGAGTGGCAGGGCGGGTGAGGGAGGATCCGGAGGTGAGAGACATTACCAACAGCACACACTCTATCTTGTACCCTACGTTATACGCCATAAGTTGGGTTTTGTTTTCCTCCCAGCTGCGGTGGTAGCAGGCTCCTGCGCCGGCACCTCCCGGCACGGCTCACTGGGAGGAACGAGGGGGCGCTGCTCGAAGAGAGATGTGCTGGAAGGGCGGCAGGCTGGGGGTCTTGGGCTCTTAGCTGCTTGGGGGCACTTCTCCTCGGAGCCGCACGCCCACGGCCGTGATGAGGGCGGCCCCTTTGCCACTACCATCTTCTGACAGCAGGAAGGACACGTTACATTGTGGTGACAGTTCCTTCACGGTTTGGTGCATGATTCTGGAGAAGCTGGAAAAGGCAAAAAATGCAGGGGAAGGGGAGGGAGAAGAAGAGGAGAAGACACGTCAGACCTAGCTGAAAACGCTAAGGCACCTAACCGTAAAGAGGGCAAGCAAGATGGGTGGGCCCATTCGAAAGTGGTTGCAGCTTACTGAAGATGGTTGTGCTGAAATTATATTTATAGTCAACTCTGTTATCACTGTTTTCAGCAGAGAGCCACGGCTGATAAACCAAAGACAAGCTATTCGGTAGAGTTTATAAGGGCCAGGGCATGAATAACCCACTCAGACATACCCACCCTCAGAGCTTGGGGCTCCTGGGGGAGCTGAAAATGCAGATGGGTGCTAGGCTTGTCCAAACTGGTCAAGTACTGCGCCAGTTCAGGCGGCTACGTGTGAGCAGACAAACTCCACACCAGCTGCAGTCCCTCTGAGACCCCCACCCCACCCCCTTCAACAGCCCAGCACCCAGCGCCTGAAGCCACAGGAGGGAGGCCCCCCAGGGAAGGACAGCTAGTGAGAAGTGACGCTATGCACTTGCATCCTATAAAGAAGATGAAAGACAGGGCCAGGCGGGGATTCCTGGGGAGATGGGGCTCTAAGAGGTTAGAACAAGGGCAGTTATTGAGCACCTACTAGGTGCCCATACTTTATGTACATAAATTCCAGTTGTGCCAGTGGCTACCATTATCCCATGTTATAGATGAGGAAGATGAGGCTTTGCAGAGATGAGAAATTGAACAGAGCTTCTGAGTGATGGTGCTGGGATCAAATCCAAGCCTGTCTGGGCCCAAAGCCTGACTCTAAGTCACTCCCATGTGCTGCCTCAGATGACGATGATGCCTACTAAGGTGGAGAGACAGAGGTGGGGATGGAGCAAGGCGGATAGTTCCATCCCACACCATGGCCATAAGCAGGTGATGTCTACGCTGAGCTAGGTGAGGTCACTCATCAGTGGGGTGACATTACGGCCCTGTTTGCCTGGGATGGTCCCAGTTTGCCTATGGTCCCAGAGTAATGATTAGTAATACCCCCTTCACTGGCAAAAGTACCCCAGTTTGGGCGGTAAATTATATGGTCACTCTCACAGAAGAGCCAAGGTTTGGGACATGTGGTGGATCAAACAGCATGTGTCCTTCTCTGGCATGGGATGTTGGGTACTCCTCAGCCACTGGCCTCTAGGGACCAAAAGGAGGGTACTTCCTACCCCTACCTGCCATGAAACCCAGGGCCAGAACTGAGCTGCCCTTCCAAGTCTTGAGAAACTCTGGATTTAGCAGGTGAACAAGACAATGGGCCCTCCTCCCACTTTCCTTCACTCCCTCTCCCCATTTACCAAACACAGCCTTCAGCCAGGCTGATGGGAGGCCCATGCCCACCCCTGCCTCCTTCCCTGTTCCCAGCCCGGACCCTGCTTGACCTAAAAGGGGCCCAGGAGGAGTGGGGAGAGGGGGACACATCATGCTGCTGGTCCGAGCTGGCCAAGTGCAGCCACTTCTCTGCCTCCTCAAGGATCCCGGCCAAACTTCAGAGCTGATCATTATTTCATCCCAGACAAGCCCAATCCCTGAGCACTCTAAGCCTTTTGGCTGGTTGTGCCCTGGTGAGAACTTCCCTGGCAGGAATCACACTCTGATGCTCTGGGAAGCCCTGCCTACCCAAACCCAAAGCCACTTACTGGGGGTGAAGTTTGTACAGCGTCCCGTCCACTCCCACAGTCACATTCAGATGGTCCAGTCTCCTGTTCTCACGGATCTTATCCACCACGGCCGCCATGCCCGCGCCACACAGCTGCGCGGCCCTCCTGGACACCACCCCACACACAGTCTTCACGAGGATACTGTCATCACAGGTGCTGTTCAGTCCCAGCTGTTGGAGGATGGCCCGAACCTGGAGCAGTGCTAATCGGTCACTGCAGTGGACAAAAACCAGGGGGCTGGATGGAGCAGGACCCGCGAGAGCAGCTGGGAGCAGACTCCAAAGAACCAGCCGAATCACTGTGCTTACCCACAAGTAAGAGTGTGATTTTTTTTTTCTCTTCAAAATAACATTTATTGTTTAATGGTCACAAAGGCATTACATGTTAAATTGTAGAAAATTTGGCAAATCTAGAAAAACATAAATTGGAAAATTAAAACTATCCATAGTCCCAACACCCAGCATAGGGAATTTTAACGTATTTCCTTCCCATCTATTTTTCCTATGTCATAAAACGTTATATTATGATGATTTGCAAAGTGAGGTTGTCCTTTACCTGTGCTTTCTCTCGCTTTTTTTCCTATTTCATACATCTGAGCAATTCCTCAATCCTTAACAGTCAACCTGTGAGACCTGGAACTTGCCAGGACTGCCTTGTTTTTCCGTGTATTGCAAGTTTTCCGCTTTTGACAGGGTGCATGCAGTCCTACCGCTTTCCTATCACTTTCTATTAGTCGAAAATATTTGAGTTCTCCCTCTCTGTCGGGTTTCCGCCTTACACAGGTTCCAGCTTTCGCAGGTTTTACTGTATTATCTGAGAACAGGATTGGAAATGGCTGCTACAGTGTTTCATTCTGGGGCTCACCATAATTTCTTTAGCCAATCTGGGGGAATTCAAATTGTTTGCCATTTTACACCATTATATAAAAATGGTTTGGTGAAGTTTTCTGTTCAAAAATCATTGTGTGCAAAAAAAGACCAGATTTACAGGCCTAAAGGAGACTGGAGAAACCTCAAGAGTATGGCCCCCAGACACCCTTTTAGCTCAGTGGTGAAGTCATTTCCGAGGTTCACCGTTCAGCCGGGGAGTGGACAGCCCCATAAAACCAAATGGAACAAATGAGGCACAGCAGTCCCGGGACAAGGGCCAGAAGGCAGAAGGGGACAGGAAAGCTGGTGATAGGGAACCCAAGGTTGAGTAAGGATATTGTTGATGTGTTGTGAGATTGTTAACCATTGTCATAGCGCAACATGTATAGTAACTGTTAAATGAGAAACTATTTTGTTCTGTAAGCCTTCATCTAAAGTGAGAATAGCAGCACAATTGGAAGAGTGTAGTTGATGTCACTGAACTGTACATGTAGAAATTTTTGAAACCGTGTATCTTTGGCTGTGTATATTTTCACCAAAAAAAAAAAAAAGGTCAAGAAGGGAGAGGGTGGACATGTTGTGGGGTTGTTAACCAATGTCATAAAACAATATGTGTACTACTGTTTCATGAGAAACTATTTGTTCTGTAAGCCTTCACCTGAAGTACAATTAAAAAACAAATCATTGTGTGTAACTCTTTTTCCTTAGGATACACTGCTGGGTCAAAGGGCGGTTGATGCACATTGCCAAGTGCCTTTCAGGCCAGTTTATGAATTTTCTCTGTCTCAAGCAGAGTATTTGGCTGTACTTGTCGTCATGCACCTTTGCCCACTGTGGAAATGATCACTTAAAAACTTCTGACAATTTGATAAGAATGGCATCAAGTGACAGTTTAATTTGCAATTCCTTAGTAAGGATGACCATTTTTTTCATTTATTGACCTTATGAACTACCTATTATGTCCCAAGCCTTTTTTCTCCTGGGGTTTGTCTCTGTCTTATTAAATTGAAAGGGATGACAACAATGATGACAATGACAACAGCAGCCAGACTTTTTGAGGACTTACTCTGTGACAGACACTTCACATATATCACCTCCTTTACTCCTCCTAACCACCAACCAATGCAGGTACAACATTCCCATTTTAAAGATGAGGAAACTGAGGCTGGGAGAACTGAGCTAACTCCCTGAAGGCGCATAGCCAGGAGGGCAGAGCCAGGTCTGCCTGTCCAGACCTGCCGGAGCTATCGACCACCAAGTTGTGCTCTGTGTCTTGTCATATACAATGCAGATGCTTTCCTCAGCTTACTGTTTTGACTACCTTTTTTTAATTTTTCTAATTTACAGAAGCTTACATCATAATGTAGCTGAATTTGGCAGTTTTTCTTCTATGATTTCTTTCTTTGCTATTAGGCTTAAAAACACCTTCCCTACCCTGAGAGGAGAAAACTATTCACTGATATTTTCTTCTCTTTCTTCTATGCTACCTATTTTCTCCGTTTAGCTCTCTGATCCGTCTGGGTTGATGAGGGAACAGAGGCAATAACTCATTTCCTGACCCCGAGCCACACCCAGCACGGCGCCTGCCCCTGGTGCTGTGGAGTGCTGCCGCCCAGCGTGCTCAGCCCTCCCTTTTGTCTGCTGCTAGCCCCTCGCTGCCTTGGTTCTGTGGGCGGTGAGATTTACCTGCAGGTTAAGATCAGGCATGGGCAAAAGCAACGCATGGGCTCCAGTGAGCTATAACATTAGAGTTCTTTCTCATTATAAAGATAAGGAGGTGATGGCATGACTGGTTTTGCTTTTCAAGAGCACTTTTTCACCTTCTCTCACAGCTCACCTTGGAAGATTGCAAAAGCAGGGACAAGAATGTTCACTCCTCGTGAGAAAAACAGAAGGGAGACAGAAGTGACTTTCATGGGGCACACGCTGGGTGGCCAGGCTTGGCCCCCAGGCTGCCTTTCTGATGATCGGGGGGATGGGGCTAGGCAGTGGTTCCTGGCTCTGTCACACTCAATGCCCCTTCAATACAAATATTTTTAATGCACTTTTGTTGTTGTGAGGTGCAGTCGAGTCGATTCCAACTCACAGTGACCCCATGTGACAGAGTAGAACTGTCCCACAGGGTTTCCTAGGCTGTAATCTTTCTCCCGCAAAGCAGCTGGGTGGGTTTGAAAGGCCAACTTTTCAGTTAGCAGCCAAGTGCTTAACCGTTTGTACCACCGAAAACCAAAACAAACCCGTTGCAATCAAATGGATTCCGACTAACAGCAACCCTATAGGACAGAGTAAAACTGCCCTGTTGGGTGTCCAAGGAGCAGCTGGTGGATATGAAAGGCTGACCTTTTGGTTAGCCGCTGAACACTTAACCACTGTGCCACCAAGGCCACCTTTGTGCCACCAGGGCTCCTTAAAATGCTCCTTTACTACCCTAAAGTGGAATCCACATAACCACTTATACATATATTTTTAAATATATGTGTATTTGAATATATTGCCCCAAACAAATGAAAGGAAAATAATTTAAGATAAAAGTATATGATTTCAATATGCAAATGCTCAGGGCCTGACAACTCCCATTCTAAAGGACAAAGAACACCCTTATAAAGGCCAAAACGTTCCCTAGGGCCCCTACCCACCCGCCAACCCCCCATCAGGAACCACCGGCCAGGCAGACCTCTCACCTCTCGATCTGAGAGAGAAACTTGGTCTCAAAGATGCCCCGCGTCTTCAAGGTCTCAGAGATCTGCCCCCGGAAGAGAAATCCCTTCTTGGTGAAGTCAATCAAGATGTTGCGAACAATCTCCCCCAGGTACATGCCGCTAATCATCTTCTCATACCTGAAACAGGACAAGGCGTGGACATCTGTGAGACGTGACCAGGACTGTCAGCGCCTCGGTCTCAAAGTGACTCCAGGGTATCAGGGATGGCTATGTGCCCAGCCTGGGCTCCCGCAAGCAGCAGAGACACAGGAGAGGGAGACCAGGACAGGCTGGAAAATCTGCAACCCTCCTCAACCAAAAGCAAAACCACGGCTGAAGCTAGACCATCTCCCTCCTCATCTACTTCCTGCCTCTTACCTGGCTAACCCCCACTCCAGCTCTCGGCTCAAACGTCACTTCCCCAAGAGGTCTTTCCTCTTCTCCAGACTGGGTTATACCTGCCTGCTATGGGCCCCCAAACACCCCGCCCTTCTCCGTCTTCACGAGGGTCCACTGCCTCTCTTGTCCACCCTGCAGAAAACCCCAAGAGGACAGGGACTGTGAGTCTTGTTCAGCTTTCAATCCCCAGAGCCCTGCATAGCACTCAGCTCTCAGTCAGTGTAATACCTAGCTGCGGACTAAGCCAACAACTGGACTGTCTTCCAGGGGCAAGATGGCAACAAGCGGGAATGGCCTCAGTGTTCTTCAAGGTTTTGCAAAAACCCAGAGTACTGGTCAAGATACAGTGGAGTGACAAGGCCAGGCAGGTTGGAGAATTCAGGCGGCCACAACCCACCCGAGGTCAACCTGCTCTTGGGGCTGTGAATTTCCTGCCCTCTCCATACGCAAGGGTCTCGAAAAATGACAAGGGATTTCAATGATTCCATGGCACACACTCAAGCCCAGCATCCCCACACTGGGAAGACTGCGGTACGATCCTCTGACTCCACCAACAAGGCATCTCAGTTTGGAGCTGGTATGTCTTTAATCCCTTTGCTAATCTCCCTTTTGTAAGAAGGGGGTCTCAGTTTAGAGCTTTGGCAGGGCAACAGCATCTAGATAGAATGTAATTACACTGCTGCTCTTCACTGTATTCATTTTCATGGTTACCATCTGTTTATGGTAATACTGGGTTTCCTTCCCCCGCCCCCATTAAATTTAAGTAAAGAATACAAGCCAATTTAAAGAAAAACGTTGAGTGAATAAACAGCATAGGTGGCATTCAGAAAAGGCACAAATCTTAAGGGTGATTGCAAAATGACTTATGTTTGGGAGGTGCTACCCCAACCCTTCTTTTCTCTGGTTCCCAACTTGTGCCGGCTATCGCAGAAGATGGCATGTTTCCTGAGACCAAAGGAGGCCCAAGAGCTTGAGACAAAGGGTCACTGGGAAGAGCAGACACCAACCATCATCTCAGAGTCTGAGACCTGAGCTGCAAAGCTCCAAACAGCCACTAGATGGCAGAAGAGGTTCACTGTAGGAAGACTTCAGAAAGCGGCTCTGCTTTACCCCGCCTCCCCCCTCCCCTTGCCCAAATCCCACCCCCAACTGGCTATATCCCAATTTCCCTTGACCTTTGACAACTGCTGGCCAAGTGCGTTTTATTTCCACTAAAACAAAACAAAACGAAAACCTGCAGACCAACAGGTTTCTATCTCAATGGGGAAGAAACACAGCAAAGAGAAAGCCAAAATCTTCCAGGATGAAAAAGGTCACCGAGGGAAGCCATGTGGCCACAGCCACCCTGTTCTCTGGGCATTTTCCTAGGCAGAGGCGGTTCCTGGCCAGGACAGTAATCCCCCGCCATCTTGTACCAATCACCCGCCATTGTGTACCTTGCAGGGGCTACCTCGCTGGTTTTCTGCTGTTCTTGGACCAAGCCAAGGTCAGGAGTAAAACAAGAACCTCCAGGGGCCAATCTCCAAGCCTCTGTCCACACCCTGCTCCCCCTAGAAACTTCTTTCACCGTGAGAGGTAGGGTACAGCCAAATGTTCTCCCCAGCAGACTACCCCTGACCCCCTCATGTGTCTCCTCCACCAGGCAGAATTACCTTTGTTTCCCAGCATTTAGAGAATATTCATCCACCAATTTATCATAGCCTGTTCTGATATCATCCAGACACCCGTTGTCTCCAAAGGCACCCCATTCCATGTTGATACACATCTGCCCATCATTCCCTTCCACCGTCTCAACGTTCTTCATCTCTTCCATGTAGCAGGCATTGCTGCCCGTTCCTGAAACACAGAGGAGGGGAGATACAGGGCTAGGCTTCCAAACTTGGGAGATATGCAGCTGGGCCTGGGGTATATTTTTGAGGGTACAATTTCTTAAATAGACTTCACTTTTTAGGGCAGTTTTAGGTTTACAGAAAAATTGTGCAGAACGTAGAGTTTCCATCTGCCCCCCTTCCCCCTGCACTGTTTCTCCTATGGTTAACATCTTGCATTCCTGTGGTATATTTGTTATAACTGATGAACTAATACTGATACATTATTATTAACTAAAGTCCACAGTTCACATTAGGGTTCACTCTTTGTGTTGTACAGTCCTAGGGTTTTGACAAATGCATACTGTCCTGTATCCACCAATACAGTATCATACGAATAGCTTTGCTGCCCGCCAAATGCCCTGTGCGCCACCTGTTCATCCCTCTCCCCTTTCCTAAACCTCTGGTAACCACTGATTTATTTACTCTCTCTACAGTTTTGCCTATTCTTGAATGTCATATAGTTGGAATCATAATAATGGAATCATAAAGTATGTACTTTTCTCATACTGGCTTCTTTGACGTAGCAATATATATTTAAGGTTCCTCCATGTCTTTTTATAGCTAGATAGCACATTTCTTTTTATTGCTGAATAATACTCTATTGTATGGATGTATCACAGTTTATCCACTCACCTACTAAAGGACATTTTAGTTGCTTCCAATTTTTGGCAATTATGAATAAAGCTGCTAAAAACATTCATGTGTTGGTTTTTACGTCAACCTATGTTTTCATCTCATTTGGGGAAATACTTAGGTGCACAATTGCTGGATAGTATGGGAAGCCCACATTTAGCTTTAAAAGAACTGCCAGGCTGTCTTCCAAAGTGGCTGTACATTCTGCGTTCCCACCAGCAACGAACGAGGGTTCTCGTTGCTCCACATCCTAACCAGCATTTGGTGGTGTCAGTGCTTCGGATTTTCGCCATTCTAATAGGTGTGTGGTTTATCTCACTGTTTTCATTTGCATTTCTCTAGTGACATATGGCCCTGGTGGCGCAGTGGCTAAGAATTTGGCTGCTAACCAAAAGGTCGGCAGTTTGAATCC